GAGAGAGAGAGAGAGAGAGAGAGAGAGAGAGAGAGAGAGAGAGAGAGAGAGAGAGAGAGAGAGAGAGAGAGAGAGAGAGAGAGAGAGGGGCACAGCGCGGACATGCAAAATGAGAATGAATCTTCCCATGCGCATGGGAGCAATTGTAAAACAGGAAAACTCAACAGAGTAGCCATGATTTTATTTTTATTATTATTATTATTATTATTATTATTTTTAGTAGCCATGATTTTGAGTAACCAGTTACTTAGTAATTGTGAAATTAAAATCTTTTGTAAACAATACAATTCGAGTGTACCATCTTCAAAATCATTTTGAAACAAATGGTCCATATTGGGAAGAAATGAGAATAAAATACACATCCAAATTAATCCTAAATTAAAATGAAATAATAAATTTGTAGTGCTGCTCGTTCCCTATTGGACCCTCCCTCTTTTCCTTGTATCAGGTGCGTTTCCTGGCTTTTCTCCTTGTTTTTTTTTTTTTTTTCTTTGGGAAAAAGTAGCACTACTAACGAGTAGATCCGTATCTCTGTGTATTGCTCTCGCTGTTGCACTCGCTCGTTGTCCCGCTCCCTTCACGCTGGCTCGTCGTCCAGCTCCCTTCACGCTCGCTCATCGTCCCACTCCCTTCCCGGCTGTTGCGCTCACTAGTCACCCCGCTGCCTTCCCTGCTGTTGCGCTCGCTCGTCGTCCCACTCCCTTAAAGAGGACGGCTCTTGTCCTCCTGTGAGGCCTGGTGTGCCGCTCGTTCCCTGTCGCACCCTCCCTCTTTTGCTTGTATCATGTGCGTTTCCTGGCTTTTCTCCTTTTCCCCATAAGATGCTTCTCCTGGGCCCAGGGAAAATGAGGCCCGCAGTAGTTGCATGGGACAGGCATGGTGTCCCCAGTTCCCTTTCTTTTTGGGCTGGGGGATGGATGTTGTTCGTAACTTGCTGTCGTGGGGTCGAGGTTGCCTGGCACATGGACTTTCTTTTGCACTTCGGGTTGGCTCGAGCTCGAGTTGGCACCGGTTTCTTCACTTTTGTTTTATTCATCGCAGCCTTTCGGGTTCTGATTTGCCGTTGGCGCCGTTTCGTTTTTCGGTCATTTTGGGCGTTTGTCTTTTGGGGTGGCACGGTCATACGGCCTCGTTGCACTACTCTAGACTCTTGAAATATTTTGTGAGTTCAACTAGCATTGTCAGCGAGACGAGACTTTCGAAATACCCGCCGTTGCTGCACTTACTATAGAACCTGTTACACTAGCTGCACTCTCGAAACCCCGGGCGTCGTCGGACTCGGCAGAAGACCTGTACCACTGCGCTACAGGACAACGCCAGGCTGGTCTGGCCGCCGGGACAGGAGGTCCACTCTCGAAAAATGAGTCGGTCGGCGCGCAACTCCCGAGCACACTTGCGAACTCGTGTTTTGCAAGCGGCCAACTCTCGACGTTTTGAGAGTGGCGTTATAGTGTGCCTTCTGACAGCTCTCGATCGGGTTTCGAGAGTTTCCCGATCTCGAGTAAGTGCAGCGACGACCCACTCTCGAAACTTTGAGAGTCTAGAGTAGTGCAGCGAGGCCCATATTGTTTTCCTTTTTCGGTCGTTTGGTGGTTTGGTAGCGGGGCCAGTGCTTCCCCACATGTTTGAATAAGTACATAGCATGCGAAGTCACAGCGCCTGTCAGGGGGTGAGAAACAATCACAAGCAATCAAAGATCGACACACACGACCGATGATCGTAGTCCAAAAGTAACTCGACACAACATGTATTGAGAATAGTAGCAAAGACCCCAGAGTTCCGCAGAAACGGACTCGAGATCACTACAATCTCCGTCCCTCAGCTTCATCCCCAGACTATGCTCCACTTTCCTCCAACCCGTTTTGGGGCAACCCCCGACGCCATGCCGTGAAAAGAGGACAAGAACAGCAAAGGAAATGCTATTAATAGTCTAGGTACCTATCTAACCTCTAGTAACTCTGCTGTAAGCTGCCAGATCTCATCCGGCGTCCGAGCAAGATTTCCGACCGCTATCCCAAAGAAGGTGTCCGAGAATCCTTTGGTCCGGTACCCCAGTCTCAGGGTCAGAACCTGTTTCAGAATACTCGTCCGTACAGAGGTGTTTTTGTCGATTTGATGCAGCCACCCAGTGATCAAGGCCAACTTCTGTTTCTGACTCGACCATGAGTGAAAGTCTTGCCCCGCCCTGAAAACAATATCCTGGGTGAACTATATGGTCCCTTCGTTTTTTGTCCGTTGTATACTGCCCAGGTATGGGAAACGCGACCTGACTTCCATTTTACAACCAAGGAAATCCCAGGTCCCGGTCCTTTCATCGGTTCGTTTCAGTGACAGCGCTTTCGGATAACACCTTTCGAACTTTTTTCGAATCCTGTTTACTTTTCCAATTGAGTGCGGGTTCCCCTGTTGGTAGGCCGAGAACAAGGAGACATCATCCATGAGCCTAATTTCGTACACTAACTTGCGGTCGCTACCCAAAGTAGCCAAAAACCGCCACTCGGCATGCATACACATGATGCAGGCAAGTGGCGGACTCGTGGATTTCCCCATCGGGATTCCAAAAACTTGCTTAAGCAAAACATCAGAGGCTCTGGTATATGTATGCGACAATTCGAAATGCACAAAACTCCTGATTTTGGTCAACTCGATCGACCACCACCCTTCCCCCACTTTCTTTCCAAAAGTAGCCCCTCTTCCTACAAGATTGACCATAATCGTTGATTTATCTCTAAAGCATTCCAGAATCCAATCCAAAGCTCTACGAATATCATTGTGAGGCAGCCTACTAAACATATCCTTAATGTCTTAGGAGGCTGCCATCACTTTGCTATTCGTACACGAACGATGCAACTGCAAATTAACTGATTTCAAGCGTCCTGTCAACTCGCCAACAGATGGTAAGTTAAAATGACAGTGTTGTGGAAGGGAAACCACAAGTAGGTTCAGAGCTCTAGCAACTTTCCTACAGATTTTGATGGTTGGTTCACAATATGTCGGGCATATAGGCCGAAAACGTGAGAGATCCGTATGCTTAGGAAGCACATAGGAGGATCCTGCTTTTCCTTTTACATCCCATTTGCCCAACCTATCCAGGCCACGCTGCTTGAACTCTGTCCTTGCCTTTATCCAAATTCTTGACTCATTCTAAGTGATCGCTACATATCATGAGCTTCTCACGAACAAATCCCCCATCGCCTCATAGTACAATTTCGGACAGACTAGCACAATCTCACCCACATTTCGATCCACTGGTGAGAAAACCAAGTCTGGAAATCTGCTCTTCACCTCGAAAACCTCATTCATAGATATCTCTTTATTATCATACTTGGAGTTATTCATGCAACTTAATGCTTCTTCCGTCCAAATTCGTACAGAACAGTCACGACCAGGTTTCCAACTTGCAAATGACACGGAAATCTCCTGAGCCAAAATCTCTGCTCGAAAAGCTTGTCGAGCCCTCGGGACATTACTCCCATTGTGCATTCCTTCGGGTATTCCCTGTACTTCCCACAACCGACATCTAACATGGCCCTCATGACGGGGCAACTCGTACCCTGAGCAAGTGCAGGCCTGCACTACTTGGGAGGCGGCCTTACGATGGTTGCAAAGGATATAAGCGACAGTTGGATTTTTTGTCCACACTGTCCTGACCTTTTTAGTAAAGATGTCTGTAACAACTGTAGGGAACCCCATATCCGCAATCTTAGAATCGCATAGTCTTCGAACCCCTGCTAAACTGATCCTATCGTCGTATCTTACTTTAGTGATGAACTTAGCTCCCAGATTAAACCCGTACCCTTTCTTAACACTGTCAAACAAAACACGCTTCAAAAATTGTCGCGTAGACTTCCTACTAAATTCCTTAGCCGCCTGCAACAAATCAATTAAAAAACAGAGGTCACGTTTCTGCAGAGAAGATCTCTTACTGAGTTGCTTTAGGACAGAGACGAGAAAGGAGTGATGTCGCTTGATGTGTTTCTTCCACCGTCTCAAATACACAAAACGAATCTCCCCTCCTTTTTCGATTTCTTCCTTACACTTGCAAAGTTTCACCCTCTTCCCTCATGCGCATACATCCGAATCCCCAAATATGCGTTTTACTTTCTTCCATCTGTTCGCCCAAACATTACCTCCGTACGATATCAAACAAAAACTACGATGTCCACTCTCCTCTTGGTTATACAGAGTCTGCAGAATCTTGAGGGAGCTAGCGGTAGCCTGACCGCCAGATTCAACGAGTATGCAAGCAAGCTGGGGTCCTGTACATACGGAAGCCCCAAGCCATGGCCGCATTGGCCGAACACAGGGCGCAACAGGCTTACGAAGGAGTGGAAAATGTCTTACCGAAATACGCGAAAGAAGATGCGGGGACTTCGGAAACTTCGAGTGAAGAACTATCAGAGGAAGACTCGGACTTCGGAAACTTCGAGTGAAGAACTATCAGAGGAAGACTCGACAGAATCCGAGGAGGAAGGAGACGTGGCGAAGAAGAAGCAGGCATGAGTTGGTGCTAATGTACAGGAACTCTGGCAACGTTGTAGAGAGCTGTCAAACCTCCGTAAGATAGGATCTCCAGTTAAGAAGGAAATCAAATCGTTGTTCCGATACGTAGTAGTTGCACTTACGCTGAAAGGATGTGTTCCGTGGCTTTCAAAGTTTGTAGCGTATTGGTCTAATCTCCTGACTTGCGATCCGAAAACGTTTGATGACCCGGAGAGTTGTGTGTATGTGGGTGTTTCGCCGTGGTGTCGCGCGACATATATAGGTAAGACCGAAAGACAAGTGAATATTAGATTGTCGGAGCACCGCCACAAGAGTGAGAAAGCAGACTGTGGGTCGTCACACTTTCACAGATGGCTTGAGAGATTCGGGATCCATAATTACGTACTGATTCCTGTGCTTAAGGAACAAGCAGATGCGCTGCTTAGCGTCAAGGATTTGCTTATTCGAACTTGGTCACCTAGTCTAAATGCTCGCCGATCAAAAAACAGGCAAGCGAAAAAACGACAATCGCGGAAAAAACGGCACGGCAAACGCGAACGCAAGGGTACGAAGAAAAGGGAACCAGGTAGAAAGCAGCGGAATGCGAGACGCTCGTACGTCAACCGAACGTAAAAGATTCGGATAGGAATTGGGAAGGGTTGGCCATCCAAATGACGTGTAGTGTCGTCAACGAACTGTTGTCGGGCTCCGAGACCCATGCCTGCAGCAGCTCCTTTCGTCAGCGGATCATTCTTCTCTCGAAGAGCCCTCATCGTTACCGGTTTCAGCCCGTTCTTCATTTTCTTTGCTGACGCAGCTGTCCGTGGTGGATGTCTCGGCTGCGTACGGTGTTGCAGAAGCGGAGTAACGTTCGGGCTTGATTGCGAGCGGTCATCTTCTTCTTCGGTTGTCGTCGGGATCCGCTTGCGTTTGTCTGCCAGCCTCAGGTTTCTCGTCTTTCCACTGAGTACGGAGATTTCATCTTCGGATTCTTCGCCGGAGTCGTGCGATGAGTGGCGGTGTTTCACTCGCCTGTTGGAACGTCTGTTCTCACGCCTCAATCTTCTCCTGCTTGGCTTGTATTCCAGCGAACTCTCCACTCCGATATCTTCTTGCCTACATCCCCATCTCTTGGAAAACTGGATGTCAACAATCCTGGCCAGCCGTTCGTCGTTTTCCAGTTGTTCACGCCTTCTTCTTCACCTCTCTCTTACGTATTTTTTCTTCCTTCTCCAATCTCTCATGTTCTTGTCTTTTTTTATCTTCTTCCTCCTTCAATTTCCTCTCCTTCTCTTCACGCTCCGCTACTAGTAGATTCACCAGATCTTTCACACTGTCGCATCCCCCTCTTCGATCATAGTACTTGGAGTCCGCTGATGGTGAGCGCTTGCTCGGTTCCCACCGACGTCTTGCTGGTGAAGTTGATCGCCCTCGATATTGCCGGGATTCTCCTGCAGCCGATGATTCTCCTGTCTTTGACTCGAACTTCTCTTTCCAGTACTGGCCGCAATCCCGTGCATAATGCCCTGGCATCTTGCAGCTATAACAAGTCGGTACGCCTCTTCGAGGGGGTTCCTCGCCTCCACCTCCTTGTTGACTCGAGGACGCCATTTCGTTCGTCACTCTCTAAACGCACGCTTTCTAGCGCGCCTGCACGTGAGTAAGTAAGTATGTCCGTACCATGTAGTCAAACCAGACCACCATACGAAGTGATCCTCCGTTGGTTACCGAACGCTTCCACAGGGGTGAGAAAGAATCACAAGCAATCAAAGATCGACACACACGACCAATGACGACACAGCGCCTGTCAGGGCATACTTCACCCCACTGCTTGGCATACTTCACCCCACTGCTTTGGACAAGTAGATGCTCGAGTGGTGGGGGCGCATCAGCCTGAACCATCGATAGGCCAGTCTCCTAAGGTGGGCGGAACCCAGCATCAACCAGCGAATCCCTTGGCAGCTCTGCTCTTCTTGTTCACAATGGAAGCGGTCGCGTGCTATCTGAGCAAGGATCCCACCATCGAAAGGCTGGTAGCAGAGCCGGCCCCACAAGGTCACAAGGTTGTCCCGCGCCAAACTGCTGTTTTGTGGATGGCCTCACGGCCATGATAAGGGGATCGGATTCCTCCTTTCGGGCCCTGATATTGGCCACACAAGCCTTCCAACTGGCCTCCGAGATGAAGGTCAACTGGCAGAATAACGGGTTGTGGCTGTCGGAAAACCCGCGGTCTCCTCCGGACATCTCCACAGAAGGCTTCACATGGCAAGACCTGCTGGGGACGCCGCTACGCTACCTGGGCATAAGGCTCACTGACACAGGACCTGACCATACGATGGCCTCGGAGATCCTAACCAAAATTCTGCGCAAATGGACACTTGCCCAGTATCTACACCTCGGTGTTCGCCCCAAACAAAGGCTCTTCAAACCAAGTGGATGGTCAAACTGCTTACCCAGCAAGGTCTGCCATGGCCTGCCATGGACTGCCCTCGAACTGCACCGGATTAGACAGCTGCTGAAAGCATCCACCCCGCCCAACATGCAGAGCCTGTTCTGGGCAATGTCCACATCGTGGGCAACCTGCAGCAGCACGCAGCAGTGGCACACCCAGCAGCAACAGCCGGCATACGCAGCCCGCCCTGACTACTGGATGTACCTCATCTAGATCTGGAGATAATTTTTTTCCGACGGAAGTCTGGAAACCAACAAGCAAGGAAGAAGTCCTGTGTCAGCCCTAATTATGCAACCAATGACTTAAGGACCACGCTGAAAAACCTTGGAAATGACAGCGCAAGATGGACCGCTTAGCTGGAACAAGCTAAGTGGCAGATCAAACACATTTGGAATCAGCAGTACAACCACTGGAAAACTAATGCGGAATTTAGAGAAACACTCGAGGGCTGTCACAACCTGCAAGCCAATCTCCACATCTTCTTGCTATCCTTCCCCGTGACTGGCTTGTTCTGTTGCAGGGCAGGCGACGTTCGGCAGAAGGCGAGTGGGCCACGTGGGACCGGGACGACACCCCAACCTTTGCGTTATCATACCTGAAGAGAGAAGGCCCGCTGGGGAAGTGGGCACTATGCATTATCCACAATATCGAACAACCTGGACAAACAGTCAGTAGGGTCACAAAGGCAGTCCGGGCCGGGTCACAGCGAAACCCACCCTCCTGAGGAAAGTGCGGGTGGTTGAGGAAGATGACTACAGGATCTATAGCCCATCAGCAAAAATCCATGACCTGGAATTTGACGCGGCAGAGTGGGCTTGGAAAACAACCACAGCATCAACAAGGGTAGAGCCGGACAAACATTTTTGATTACTCGACACGACTGGGTTACAGACTTAGGCGGAGGTCTGCTAACACACGCGACATACTGACACAGTGGTGGGAACAGTACCTTCCTGGGGGACTGGGAAGACAGACGACAATCTCCTGCCAGGTCCCTTTGACAATCCGAGACGCGCATCAGAAGTATGCAGTGGCTCATCTACTACTATGCTCTCCCAGTCAACAAGTGGCTAAGCAAGCAACGGTCAGCTGCGGCCCGACGCGAGTTGGACGACATCCATGTGATCTGCGAGGCACGGGTTCCAGAGTACCTTGCTCACTGTCTCCTGTCCTGCCCTAATGCAGAACAGTTGTGGGCAAGGGTGGCTGCATTGCGGGACTCAATCACCAATACGTCACTCCCAGACAACCCGGTGACCTTGCTCACTGTCTCCTGTCCTGCAGTAATGCAGAACAGCTGTGGACGAGGGTGGCTGCATTGCGGGACTCAATCACCAATACACCACTCGCGGACAACCCGAGCTGTGGGCGAGGGTGGCTGCATTGTGGGACTAGGGTGGCTGCATTGTGGGACTCAATTACCAATACGCCACTCCCAGACAACCCAGTGACCTTGCTCACTGTCTCCTGTCCTGCCGTAACGCAGAACAGTTGTGGGCAAGGGTGGCTGCATTTTGGGACTCGATCACCAATACACCATTCCCGGACAACCCGGCTACTCGCCGTATCGGACTTAGGGAACCGATGCTCCAAGAGAAATGGCAACGGACACTCTTCCTGAGTCTTCGCCCCCTGACAATGTGGCCAACATGGAAGAGAAGATGCAAGGCAACGATCAATGGGCAGGCCACACCAATGGCAGAGGCGTGGAAGAGCCTCGCTCCGTTGCTACATGTCGAATACCACTCAGACTGGCACAGAACGGCCAAGCTTATCAAGGAAGACCCGACCAAGAAACGGGACATCATAAGACAAGTACGGGGAGCGCCTTGGGCAAGGGAAATTGAGGATCACAGAGGGTGACGCACCGAGACTCGTCTGAAGGGTCAGGTGGGACCTGCAAGGTGGTGTACACTACAGGGCCCTCGCCAGGGACCGCCCGTTCGCAGGGCTCGGAGATTGGCCTGGCCCTAGCCTGAGACGACTAGGAGTGCCAGGGTTAAGGGTTTAGGCAACCACATCAGAGTTGAGGAGCGGGCCAGCACGGTATTGGAATGAACGTCCTGGCTTAGTAGCAGGGCTTAGGGTTTAGGTGACCACATTGGACTCGAGGACCAGACCAGCACAGTGTTGGTATCGGCGAGCACATCAAAGTTTAGCTGCAGGGTTTAAGGTTTAGGCGACCACATCGGAGTTGAGGACCCCCGAGGCCGCCAGGCAACCGCCTGGATTCGGTCGTTTGACCGCCGATTGGAAGCATCGGTTAGCCTGGGCGTTTAGCCCCCCGGAGTCTCCCCGGGGTCCAGAGCCGTATGGCACTGATGCAGGGGCCAGGAAGTGGGAGTGGTCTTGGGTTGTCTCCTTGCCGGAGGGGTACAGGGAATTGGTCGGTGGTTCTACATCCACGAGGCTAATTTAGGCAGGGGGGAGCGGTGCTATATCCTTCCCAAGGGAAGTAATCAATGCCGTCCACTCGGACCTCCCAACCATGTTGGGGAGGAGCATTGTGGGAGTAAAATTTATATTCTCTTCACTTGCCGGTGGAAAAGGAACCAGACTGCTGCTCCCCAGAATAGAAGGAGCCCTGTTTTTTTTGGGAAAAAAAAAACAAACAAACATATCAGACATCTATATCCAAATTAACTGCAGAGCAATCGGCAAAAGCGTGAAACAGATAGATGGACACACACACACACACACACACACACACACACACACACACACACACACACACACACACACACACGCACGCACAATCAGTTTTATTTGTGTCATTCTTTCTTCTGTTGTCTGTTCTTCCCCTGACTTTTTCTAAGTATTTTTTGTCTGCCCAACTGAGCACCCTTAAGTAGTGCCAAATAGTCGGTGGTTCCTCGTTGGGAGTGCCTACTGCACTCTTATGGGGGCTGCTCGGTTCGGGATGTCTGTGTTGCCTGTCGGTGATGACGGATGTTCGTCGGAGTGACTCCCTGGCTCAGTGGGTGGTGGGAACCAACAGGCTGTGGTGTTCAATCGTGATGTGAGTAGGTCATGTGCTGCTTTGCTCCGTGTTGGATGTGTGGACGTCCTCTGCGCTCGCCACTGCCTTGCTGCCTGTCCCGCTTTCTTCGCGTGTGGTTCTTTGCGGGTAGATGTGTTCGCTGTGCGGTGTGGCCGTGTTGTTGGTGTTGCCTTGTGCTTCGCTGCTCCGCTGCCGTGCTGCTCATCCGTTGGCCGTGCCGTCTGTGCTTGCCGCTTGTGTGCCCTGTAGGTTGGTTGCCTTGTTGCTGGTGCCTTGTGCTCCGTTCCATGGTTGCCCAGCTGCTGGTTCACTCACCATGTCATCCCCTGCAGTGCTGTTGCTTTGCTTGTGTTGCCTTGTGCTTCACTACACGGCTGCCGTGCTGCGTGCCATGTCGTTCCTTGCAGTCATTTTTGGCGTTGTGCAGTTGTGTTGCCTCTACTGTGTTCCCTGGTGCTTCACAGGGTTGCTGCCTGCTGCTATGTTCCTCTTGGGGACAGTCTGCCTTCAACAAGGGTCAACGGGTTCATGACCCAAACCATCAAATACGGGGATTCCGCAGATTGTCGAGGGTTCAGCCTCCTGATGAGTCGGTGCAACTCCGACGAAACAATTTATCAGTTTTTATTTTTTTCGCTTTGTGTTTTTTTGTTACTTGGTCTGTTGTCTGCCTTGTTGTCTTGTGCCTTACTGCTGCTCGTCTTTCTGTCAGTGGTTTCACCCCAAATTATGGGTGCTTTGATTTCTCCTGTTGTATGGATTGTTCTGTGCAGAAGTGTTGAGGTCTTTCTTCTTAGGCAATCGTGTATGCATGCCCTGTTACGCTGCTTGCCACGTTCGCGGGGTTCTGTTTATTTCAACACACACAGAGGTCCTTTTTGGCCTCATTTTTCTGCAGGGATGTCTGATCCCTCCCTGCCTTGCGGTTGTCTAAGGTATGCTTGGGCGTGCCTTTGGATTTCACATCTTTTGCCCGCAACACCATCATAGGTGAACAATCGCACTCTCTGGGTATAAAAACTGTCTGAGGGCTAAGTCTTGATTCTACTGGTAACCTGTTTCAGGATTCTTCGCTCTCGACATCGGTGGTGCATGTGTCTGTTTTATGCGTGTGCGGAGTCCATGGGGCACCGGGCTGAATGGCCTAGTGCCCCAGGACACTAGTCCATCCGGCCTTCCTCATGGAGGGAATGTGGGTGGGACACACACACACACACACACACACACACACACACACACACACACTCAGTTTTATGTCTGTCATTCTTTCTTCTGTTGTCTGTTCTTCCCCTGACTTTTTCTAAGTTTTTTGTGTGCCCAACTGAGCACCCTTAAGCAGTGCCAAACAGTCGGTGGTTCCTCGTTTGGAGTGCCTACTGCACTCTTATGGGGGCTGCTCGGTTCCGGATGTCTGTGTTGCCTGTCGGTGATGACGGATGTTCGTCGTGGACGTCCTTGTCTGCACTCCGCCGCTGCCTTGCTGCCTGTGCCGGTTGCTTCGCGTGTGGTTCTTTGCGGGTTGATGTGTTTGCTGTACAATGTGGCTGTGTTGTTGGTGTTGCCTTGCGCTTCGCTGCTCCGCTGCTCCGCTGCTCCGCTGCCGTGCTGCTCATCCGTTGGCCGTGCCTTCCGTGCTTGGCGCTTGTGTGCCCTGTAGGTCGGTTGCCTTGTTGCTAGTGCCTTGTGCTCCGCTCCATGGTTGCCCAGCTGCTGGTTCACTTGCCCTGTCATGCCCTGCAGTGCTGTTGCTTTGCTTGTGTTGCCTTGTGCTTCACTACACGGGCTGCCGCGCTGCGTGCCATGTCGTTCCTTGCAGTCGTGTTGCCTCTACTGTGTTGCCTGGTGCTTCACAGGGTTGCTGCCCGCTGCTATGTTCCTCTTGGGGACAGTCTGCCTTCAACAAGGG